AAAAAAAAAAAAAAAAAAAAAAAAAAAAAAAGAAGCACAACGCACCCTCATCATGACTGTATCGGGTGTCAAATTTAGGAGAATACATTCGGGGCCAGACACACACACTGTGGTTGCAATTCTTTTTTTGCGGGAGCGGCTCTCATGCGTGGCCCCAATTTATTTTGTTTCTTCACGGCTTTAATTTTTTGAGGGGAGGCCGCATTGTGCGACCACACACCGCCACTCCCAAAAAAAATTGGGGGGGTGCGGCGCATGCATGCGCATGGGCTGTGCGCCGCACGTGCGTGACCCAGCGCATCGCAATGCGCTGCAGGTATGGCTACTAAACATGCTTGCGTGTATGCTGTGCTATGTTTTCTTCCTGCTTCTTGCTTCCCGCAATCCACCCCACCCAAACGCCCCCCACCCCAAACAAAAAAGAAAAACAAAAAACAAAAAAAAAGAACATATGAATCATATGCTACATAATATATTTCATAATTTTAATATCCATCAACAAATAGTAAACAAAACTTAAAATTTAAATACCTGCTTAAGCTTGGGAATGATGTCATCCGCTCTCCCTTCCAACGTGAGGAGCGATGTGAAGAAGGAGGTAATAAATATTGGTGCAAAGAATAGCTGCACACAATTCCAGCCAAACGCATGCACCAAGTCAAAGAGCCAGACCAGATTCACTTCACTTTGCTCAATGACCATCCTCTCAGCACTTGTCTTCTCCGTCTTTCCCTCCGAGCTTCACAATTGACTCCTCCGCCGTGTCAACTAAACCGCAGTTGAACGCAATTCCCGCCAAATGCATGCACCAAGTCAATCAGCAAGGCCAGATCCACTTCGCTCAATGACCATCCTCTCAGCCCCTCACTTCTTTCTTATTTCTGACTTTTTTTAAGTTTTTCTTTTCACAGCTATGCATGTGTGGTGAGTCACTGCGTGTTGATGCGAGTTTTTCATTAACTTGACGTCTTGAACAATAAAGGTCAATCACTTCACTCACTATTTCAGCATGGGGGGTTGCTTATATATATATATATATCGTCATATATATAAACAGTTTGTCACAGCCCCTCGTTTGTTGTCCTCTTCTCCCTCTCTGCCTACGG